AGCATAATGTTTCAGTCATACACATACATATAATTATTTACATATTCTTTTTCATTATAGATTACAACAAGATATTGAATATAGGTCCTTGTGTTACACAGTAGAAACTTGTTTATCTATTTTATATATTGTAGTTAGTATTTGCACATCTCGAACTCCCAGTTTATTCCATTCTACCCCCTTTTAGGTGTGAGTTTTTTGGTAAGATTTTTTTTTTTAATCTAACACATATTTGATGGTGGACGATAACATTACACTTTTCTTTAGACTTTCAAATAACAGAAATTTTCACACACAAAAAATTTCTAAAAATTATTTTAATAGTGTTATTATTAGTCTTATGGCCAAATGAGGAAACTGAGGCCTAAGGAGTTTAACTAAACCACCCCAAATCAATGGATCATAGCATGTGCAATTCTCTACCTGATCCTGGTTTTAAGAATTAAACACTGTTATCAGAAGATGTTCATGCACCTGATATAAAGTTAAAATACAAGCAAATTGCACTTGGAGAGATGATAAAAGTCGAGACCCAAAGAATCCAGTAGTTATAGACCCAAAACAAACACTGCAGCTACTTCCAATTCTAATTTAAGTCTGTAGCTTTAAACATGTGTCAATGTTTGCTTCATTTTTCTACATTTTTTTAATGGTTAAAATGTTTCACCATCACAGAATATCTTCACAATAAATCACTGAAACGTAAGTGCCACAAAAGGCAGGGGTTTTTGTCTTGTTCACTAAAGTATCCCCAGTGCTTAGAACAGTGTCACACAGTAAACATCCAATAAGTACTTATGGAATAGATGAACTCTCTGTATTTTGACTCAAATTCGTATTTAGCCATTTAAGGGGAAAAATTCATCTTGAAAACCTTACAGAAGTTACTTATAGCGTATTTTCTTTCTATTGGATTTTGCATCCTTGTTTTTCTCTGCGTTGGTTGTTCGGAGTCATACTGTTTAGATCACCACAGGCCAGGAACTCTATGCATCTCTGTACCTTCACTAACTGAAAGGCCACATTCGCTAATCACACACTTCCCACGTGGGCACTCCACACCCTCTAGAAGACCCCCTATGACTGGAGCATGTAACATGCAGTCACAGCTTAACCAGGTTTATGAAAGGCTTGCTTTTAGCCCATCTGAAAATACAAACCAGTCATTATTCCTAACTGAATATCCCATAAATATTATAAGACATTTTTTGATATTTGACATCCAAGAGATGTTTTGAAATTTGACAATGCTGATGAACAGAAATGAAGATGAGTTTGCTCACAAGCATCTTCTCTTCCATACCAAGATTCTGAAAAGTAAAATAACTCTGAAGTGCCTTCTTAAAAGAATTAGGTGGGCTGGCTGCAAAGTGGAGGCTCAGTAAGTTCCAGGAGAAACAGACACCTGGAAAATAATAGTTTAGATGGTGACATGTGGTGAGGAAAAGTCTCAGACTTCTGTCTTTTAGGTCCTTCCATCTTTTCAAACCTCGGGGCAATTACTGGCCTGCTCATCCTTGCAAAAAATTCATACGAAAGAGACATTTCTTTTGAAAGATAGACATTTTATACTTGAACAAAGTGAAGTGTTAACCATCAAAAGAAATTACTTGTCAGCTCCTTCACTTCCCTTTGAAATGGAAATCTCTACAATGGCTTTTTTGCCTTTTGTAAATTTGCATTTTCATACATAGGATTTCATTAAACCGTGGTTTTTCAGTGGGGACAATTTTACTTTGGAACTTCAGACACAATTTTGGTTTTTCCTTCTTTTATTTCTGTTAAAATAGCCATATTTTTTCATCGTTTAATTGATTATTTATGTTGCTCAGATCTCAAGATTCAGGAGAACTGGAAATCCGTGTTATTTGGAGAATGACACAGTCATGCACTGACAATGCCAAAGCCCTAACAGAGGTTTTTGGTTGCCAAGCACGTTAAGAAGATTGTATGACCAGCTTGTGTGCAATGCCTCACGGAAAAGAGCAGACCAGTTTCCAGCTCATTTCTTCTTGTAAACCTAGGGGAAAGGTTTATGAAAACTCTGAAGGGAAAGGATTTTTCTTGGCATGGTATGATTTTTCCATGCTTGGCAGTAACCATATCCTGCCATACAGAAACAAAATGAAGCAGAACTTCATATGTATACCTATTAGCAATGTTTCTTCCTATTCATAAGAAGAATTATAGTCTAGTGGATCAGCTGTATCAGTCTTCCCCAGTGGATATGTTATGATAATCAAGTGGATTTTAGAAATCTACATAGTCAGTTTCCCAGCCAATGACTTGAGCCAGTTTTCACTCAATGACTCATGGGTATTCCACCGCTGGTGGCCCTCTTCACCATCTCTGTACAACCACACATGAGTTTCCACTCTCTGCTTAGTCAGCACCTATGCACCCGAGTGGTCATCAGTCTCACAAAAAAGGAGTGGTTTCTCCTTAGGAACCTAAACCGTTGGATATAAGCCTATCGTGAGATTATTGTGAGATTATTTCACGACATCAGATTGTCTTCTAGATCCCAAAGATATGGACACTTCTTAATATTAACAAATAGCCTGAGAAAATATGAACTCAGTCCAATGATTGGAGTCTGCTTTGAATTGTAGAATATTTCCAAAGAAGAGATTTTGTCACTTTCAAGCGCACAAATTGAAAATAAGTTAGTAGGGTGTTACTTAATGGGCTTTATTTTAATAGATTCTGAAATGTTAATTTTTTATTCAAGTATGTTGATTTACAACATTGTGTTAGTTTCTAGTACATTGCATAGTGATTCAGTTATATGTGTATATTTTGCACATTCTTTTCATTATAGTTCTTAGAAGATATTGAATGTAGTTCCTTGTGCTGTACAGTAGGAGTTTATTGTTTATCTATTTTATATATAGTAGTTTCTATCTACTAATCCCCAACTCTTAATTTATTTCTCGTCCTACCTGCTTTCCTCTTTGGTAACCATAAATTTGTTTTTTATGTCTATGAGTCTGTTTCCTGTTTTGTAAGTAAGTTCATTTGTATCATATTTTAGATTCCACATATAAGTGATATCATATGATACTTGTCTTTCTCTGACTTACTTCACTTAGTATGATAATCTCTAGGTCCATTCATGTTGCTACAAATGGCATTATTTTATTCTTTTTTATGGCTGAGTAATATTCCATTGTATACATATACCACATCTTTAACAAGTCATCTGTCAATGGACATTTAGGTTGCTTCCATGTCTTGGCTATTGTAAATGGTGCTGCTGTGAACTTGGGGTGTGTGTATCTTTTTGAATTAGCCCTTGTCAGACACATCATTTGCAAATATTTTCTCCCAGTCCATAGGTTGTCTTTTCATTTTGTTTATGGTTTTCTGCTGTGTAAAAGCTCATAAGTTTGATTAGGTCCCATTTGTATATTTTTGCTTTTATTTTTATTGCCTTGGGAGACTGACCTAGGAAAACATTCCTACGATTTATGTCAGAGAATGTTTTGCCTATGTTCTCTTTTAGGTTTATGGCATCCTCTCTTATGTTTAAGCCTTTAAGCCATTTTGAGTTTAGTTTTGTTGTATGGTGTGAGGGTATGTTCTAACTTCATTGATTTACATGTGGCTGTCCAGCTTTCCCAACACCACTTGCTGAAGATAGAAAATGTCTATTGTACAGTCTTGCCTCCTTTGTCGAAGATTAACTGACCATAGTTGTGTGGGTTTACTTCTGGGCTCTCTATTCTGTTTCATTGATCCATATGTCTGTTTTTGTGCCAATACCGTGCTATGTTGATTACTGTAGCTTTGTAGTATTGACTGAAGTCCAGGAGGGTTATATCTCCAGCTTTGTTCTTTTGTTTCAGGACAGATTTGAGTATTATGTTGGCTGTGGGTTTGTCATAAATAGCTTTTATTATGTTGAGGTATGTTCCCTCTATACCCACTTTGGTAAGAGTTTTTATCATGAATGGATGTTTAATTTTATCAAATGCTTTATCTACATCTATCAAGATGATCATGTGACTTTTGTCTTTTCTTTTGTTGATGTGGTGTATCACAGTGATTAATTTGCATATGTTGAACCATCCTTGTGACCCTGGTATGAATCCAACTTGATCATGGTGTGTGATCTTTTTTATGTGTTGTTGGATTTGGCTTACTAATATTTTGTTGAGAATCTCTGCATCTACATTTATCAAAGATATTGCCTGTAATTTTTTTTTTGACAGTCTTTTTCTGGTTTTGGTATTAGGGTGATGGTGGCTTTATAGAATGACTTTAGGAGTGTTCCTCTTTAGTCTTTTGGAAGAGTTCGAAAAGGATCAGTGTAATTTCTTCTTTGCATGTTTAGTAGAATTCCCAGTGAAGCCATTTGTTCCTGGACTTTTGTTTGCAGGAAGTTTTTTTTATTATAGATTCTATTTCACTTCTAGTGATTGGTCTATTTGTACAAATTATCTATTTCTTCTGGATTCAGTTTTGGTGGACTGTATGTTTCTAGAAACTTGTCCATTTCTTCTAGGTTATCCAGTTTGTTGGCATATAATTGTTCATAGTATTCTTCTATGTTTTTTTGTATATCTGTGGTATCAGTTGTTATGAAATGTTGATTGTTAGCTCTTTTTGAATTATATGGAGGCTGGTGAAAGTACTCACAAAGTTTCTTTTCCTAATTAATCAGTCTGTGCTGCCTAATTTGCACCTTTACTTTTCAGAGAAATTTAGCATCTTTTTTTCAAGATGGTACAAGCTTAGACTATAAACAAAAATATTCCCGATTTGACATTACTAGGGTATAAATTAATGAGGGTCATTAATTCTTTCTCCACCCAGCATGATGTACAGGTTCTATAGAGAGTGCCCAGATAATCATAATACAGTCCCTACTCTAGTGGAGATACAAGAATGTCAGATAACAAAATGTGAACATTCATGCTTTGTTCTTTGTCTCTCTTACCAAGATTTCTGTAAAACTGGAATCAACTAGATAAACTGTTTTTCTGTACTTTCTTTAGTTGTTCAAGTCGGGTTCCCATGTCTTGGCAAACAAGATGGAGTGGCAGCGTTCGAAGTGAATGTGATTGTAATGAATTCTGAAGGCAACACCATCCTGCAGACGCCTCAGAATGCCATCTTCTTTAAAACCTGTCAACAAGGTAATCAGTGATGCGGATTCAAGAGAAGGCTCATAAGGCTTCCAGGTGTGATTTGGGCACAAAATTATAGCTAGCTAGATAGATTTTTTGCACAGTTATAACCACACCAGTGAGTAGTGGGGCTGGTAAACATAGGGTCCAGTAATAGTACTAAGACAGACTATCTGCTTTGCCCCACTCACAATTTTAGGAACTCCAGTACTCCTTCGAAACACCCTGTCTTCTACCTCTCTCCTTCCCTCCTCCAACATAATATTTGGGACTCCCCAACCTCATATCTAGGTTGCCAGTCATTACCAGCAACTACCACCACCCATACCCCCTGCCGAAAGTTTGGTGCTGCTGACATCCATGGAAGACAGAGTGCCACCATCATGCCAGCGATCTCTGCCAGGCAAAGGCACCTCACCACCACTGCCCGGGTGCCCAGTTAAGCATGAAGGCCTGTCCCCTTTCCCATCCTGATGCAAGCTCTTCCAGCCCAGAATTTAAGCTCTGGAGGTCTTTCAGCGCTCCAGTGCGCCAAAAGGTCTTCCCGCCCTCTGAAAGTGAATATTGAGGGCAGTATCATTTACTCTATCTCAGTGCAAATTTCAGGAAGTACAGTAGGTGAATGGGGGGGGAGTGCAGGCAGAATAAAGCTTGCTTTGACTTCTTCCGTGAGCCCCCTACTGCAGGAAATAGGATTGAGAGAGGCAAAAAATCTTAATTTCATGAAGACCTGGTGAAGTACAAGGGGTGTGGAGAGAATGAGAGAAGTACTGGGATTCAGTAGCCTGTGATCTCTGGTGCGCCGGAGGGAAAGCCACCGCTGCCTTCTTCCTGCTGGCTGCAGTTCACTCGGCGTGATTTCAGAGCTGTCCACATAAACTTTGTTTCTCTTTGGTGAAGCTGAGTGCCCAGGAGGGTGCCGACATGGAGGCTTTTGTAATGAAAGGCGAGTCTGCGAGTGTCCCGACGGGCTCTACGGACCTCACTGCGAGAAAGGTGAGGAGCGGAGGGCGCCGGCGCGCTGCCTGGTGACACGGGCGTCACACGGCAGCCCCGTGTGTGTTTTTAACGCATCCCCTGAAATTATTTTTCTGGTCACATTGTAAGGATTGGTGAAGTCCTTATATAAGCCACAGAAGAGCTACTGGAGAGTATTTCTTCTAGGAGTGGCTTTCTGTTAAATCCAATATGTGGTGACAGGGGCTGAAAACTTTGGCACTACGTCTACATTTTTTGTGGCCACTTTCCCTCCCCCAACCCCCCCCACCTCCAAATTCACCGTTATATGCACCCTGCTTTGGCATAATCTTACTAAAGTTCTGAGGTTTTTCTCCTCCCCTTAAACTGGTTTTAAAAAGCTAATATTATGACTGATTTAAAAGTATCTACTCCAATTAAAAGTAGCCTTTCTACACTTGAGTTATGTAGGTGCTCTAGACAAATAAATAAATAAATAAAATTAAAAGGCTGAGAATCATTTGTATAGTAAGTATGTGTATTTTGGTGAAATTAACTTCAAGAAAGCTATGTGGAAAAAAGAAAGATAAACACAAAAATGTGTATTAACCACAAGCTCACAAATACTAAGAGCTTATTTGACCAGAGGAGGCAAAATATTTTTCATCCTCAAGAAAAATAAGAATTTTTCTTGTTTGTATTGATTTTGGAATTGGAAGATCAAAGAAATAAGGCAGGAAAAATATAGTCTTAAGAAGACCACATCTTAGTAAAAATAATCATTCTGAGCAAATTTTAATCAGCCAAATGGAACAATTCCAAAATTCTCTTTCTATAAAATTTACTAAAAATTTGCTTGATTTATAGCACAAAAATAATTTTTAATATAACAGACTTCTATCTTAAAAGAGGGAACACTTTAGAGTCAACCACAAAGCTTTAAAAAATGTAGACCTGTTGTATTATTGACATTTCCAAAATGATCCTGCTCCAAAAACCCTATCTGGCCTTAAACTGAATTCTCTCTCCTCATTAGCCCTCTGCACACCACGATGCATGAATGGCGGGCTTTGTGTTACTCCTGGTTTCTGCATCTGCCCACCTGGATTCTATGGCGTCAACTGTGATAAAGGTAACTTTCTAAGAATAAGGTTTGTTATACTTTTTAAATGTTTGGTTAAAAGAAGTGTATTTAATATACCATCAGTCTTTGTAACAGCTCTGTAAATAGAGTGTACCCCTTAGCTGGCTGCTGTAACTTTAACCCCAAATTTCAGTGTAGCTTAACACAGTAGAACTTATAGAATGCTCCAGGGCAGCAAATACCTGGTCAATGGTCAGCCAGTTCTCCTCCAAGCAGTGACTCAAGGGACTAGGCACTTTCCATCGATGGTCCTGCCTAGAGCTTCAGAGCTCTCTGGATCCAGCCAATAAGCAGAGAAAAATTGGAGAAGGCACCGCTTTGAAAACCAAACCAAACCAAACCAAACCAAAAACTCTGGCCCAGAAGTGACCCACAAAACTTCCACACCTATTCCACGGACAGGAATGAACCTCATGTTCCTACCTGGATGCAAGCAGGAGAAATGTCATCTCTGGCTGGACAACTGTATTGTATTGACACTGACAACTTGATGGGAGGGGAGCAGGGATTTTTGTGAACAATTAGCTGCTCCTGCCCCATTGGAGTTTTGCTATGTCCCAAATCAGTTTTATGGGTGAGCTTCAAAGACTGAAATGAAGCAGTGTGTTCCAAATTGCCTGACCTAGAAGTTCACTGACCCCCCGCAATTCAGTGCTCTGCTCACAGATCCCACCCCTGAGAGATCGGACTCCTCCTTCCTCTTATGCAACATCATAGCCCAGTTTTCCTCTCAGAAAGTAGATTCAAGTGTGGCTCTAAAATAGTACTGAATGATTCATACTCTTACAAGACACCTGTCTATTTTGCCCAGTTCACATCTTCTATGGAAAAAAAAAAGTCCTTAAAGTGTATATGTATTTAATGAAATTATCCTTGTGTCAAAAATGCTAATTGTATGAGTAGGACACTATTTTTTTTAAGTAAATACATGCCTCCAAATAAAATGATGTGTTATTTTTGAGAAGTGATAATGCAGAAAGCACCAATTAAGACTGAAATGAGTAGCTTTTTAAAAAAGAAGGAAAAGCTAAAGGAAAGAGCCCTTAACCTGAGTCAGAATAATCATTCATGGTTATCTGTTATTTTATGACATACAAAGTCCCTTCATACAATTATCTCCCTTTACTCTCAACAGTCTTTTGAGATATGTGAAGTATTATCCATCATTGTCCCAGAGAAGCAAAATGAGGTTTATAAAGCTTGAGTAGCTTGTCCCAAATTCACATCCTCCACTGTGCCATATTGCCACTCAGGCCACTTGTTTCAGATCCCAGTTGCACTCTGAGTGACCCTGCTTCCGGCCAGAGAACCTGATCTCTGGGGGCCATGCATTTCCCATCTCTAAACTGGAAATCAAGCCACTGACCCCTGCCCCCCACCTTTAAGCTATTGAGATAATATCTGAGCACTTCTCTGCCTTTTATTTGTAAGCGATCTTCTAAAGCTATAGCATTGGAGTGAAAACAGTTTTTAAGTTTTGTGTTCAAAAAGGTTAAGCACTAATGACACTGCTAATAACAGCCAGTGAGTAACATTCTTTCTTGGGAAGCTTCTTTTTATTTGTCTAACTTTAGCATTCACCATCTCTGCTACTTCAAAACTGGGCAGAATTTAATTCTTAAAGCAGAATTAAACCCATGTTATCTCACAACTGTTAGGAAATAGAGCAAATCCTCCAGAGATTTGGGTGAGGACCGAATGTACTATCAGGTTTAGAGAGACCTTTTGTGAGGCCTGCCTACCTTGGTGGGGCTGTTATTGGCATAGTTTGCACAGTGGAGTGTCATTTATAATGTTTTTCTAACGCTGTGGTGTCACACTCTGCATGGTCTCTGTTAAAGGAAGATATCTATGTGTATTTCAGTTCTTTTTACATTTTGTAGTATTTTGCTTTTCAGATGAAAGATTTTCCTACCTGTTAGACTCCAGTAATTTTGTTTTAAATTCTTTTGGAAAGACTTGAAATTCCATTTGGTCTCATCAGAGATCTGGGAACATTAAAAAATAATGCTTTTTACTACCTCAACAAAAAGATCCATTTATTATCCAGGAGGGAGTGTACAGCTTCTAAAAAATGGCTTACTTACTGGCACAGAGCTAAGACCTTAGAACCACATAGTCAAAGAACCACTAAAGATTAACTTTCATTGGCTCTTGGGACATCTGTTGGAAACTTTTAAGAATTGAGTAGTTAAACACTGGCTGATCAAACCCTCAGCCCCAGTTTAAGTTACTTAGTGTCTTTGGCTCATTTTCTTAGTCAAGAATCACCGCACAACAGAAATGTAGAGAAGCTTGGTCAGGATGGTAAAGTATTATGGAAATGCTAAGAGTGTGGCCAAATTTAGCAGTCAGCTTTGTCATAGTCTATAAGTTTGGATTATACTCCCAGGTTCACTGCATTCTGCACGCTCACAGAAACAACTGCCCAGCCCTTAAAATACTAGCAGCAAGTAGCAAAGGGGAAGCCCAAACAGCCGATTCTCCTAAATCCTAAGTTCTCTACCCCAGTGTGCCGCTTCCTCCATGTCAGGAGGCTTGACTTTGCTAAAGAAAGTACAGCACAGCCGTAAGCTGGGAGATATTTAGGATTTTTAACAAAAAGCTTTATCATTTAAGAAGCATGACATTCGTGGAATATTCTAGTTGGACTTCTTTTCCACAAAGAAAACATACACTTAGAACCTTTGGATTTCCTTTCTGATTTTCCTACTGGAAGCTTATTTCAGCTTTCATTCATCTATAGCCAACTTTGGCCTGTTTATATAGGACGAGAACAAATAGGCCGTAAGACTGGAAAAGCCAAGAATCCAAGCTCTTATTTTCATCTCCTTTATAGAATGAGCCAACTTGTCTATTTTTAGATATTTGCTCTCCCCTGTCCCCATTTCTGTCCTCCCTCTCTTGTAGGTGCCAGTGAGCAGCCAGACTCCAGAAGCTGACTAGATCTAAGAGAGAGGGTTTAGAGGCAGTCACAAAGAGCATGATTATTACCTGGATAATCTAGATAACTGGACTCCCACAATCATACACCCAAGGTCACCCCTTCAGTTCATGCTGCTGCCACTTCCCTGCCTATGGGATCTCACAAGGGGCAACCGTTTGTCTTTTCCCAAATATAATTACTCCTTCCTGTACACATCATAAAAGTCTATTTTTAAAAAAAATTCCTGGGGTAGGGGAGGGATAAATTAGGAGTTTAGGATTAACAGATACACACCACTATATATAAAATAGATAAACAACAAGGACCTACTGTATAGCACAAGAACTATATTCAATATCTTGTACTAGCCCATAAGGAAAGAAAATATAAAAAAGAATAGTTTTATACACACAGACACATATACACACATGTATATATGTATAACTGAATTGTTTTGCTGTATACCTGAAACTAATACAACATTGTAAATCAACTACACTTTGATTAAAATAATCTTTATATATAAGATATAAATCTTATATCTCTGTTCTTAATCTGGAAAGAAGTTTCTTTCTCCTTTGTTGGATCCTAATATTTACCACTTCTTTCCCTTTTATCTATTCCAAAGTATATTTTCTCCTTTTTCTCCTCCTTTACCTTAAAAAATATTTTCTTAGGTGTATAGCGTTCTTCTCCTTTTAAGAGCATAGACATTTACAAGAAAATTAAAAAGATAATTTTTTTACACAGCATGCCCTTTTTTTTCATTAAGATGTAGCTCCCTAGAGGTGGGTACTGTGTAATGTGTGTGGTATCCTGTTACGTGGCTGGAATCTGACAAATGGTCAGGCGACTGGTTACAATTCTTGTATGTGTAAGGTGACTTATTTTTATTATATAAGTATATGGGCAAGTAGCCGATGCATAAGAAGTGTCACCCAGCCTTAAGTAAAGTTTTTCGTTCTTGTTGTCAGATATAACCTACTGTCTAATGCAGTGCTCTGTTACTCATTCTAACAGCAAACTGCTCGACCACATGCTTCAATGGAGGGACCTGTTTCTACCCTGGAAAGTGTATCTGCCCTCCAGGACTAGAGGGAGAACAGTGTGAAATAAGTGAGTGTTGACCTTCGGCTTTTCTTTTGTTGTGGGGGGACTTTAGAAGCTCCATCGAACCCCTTCATTTTATCGATGAGGAATCTCAAGCCCAGAGACAATGCATAGCTGTCTAAGGTCTCAGGCCAGTGGTTTCTTTTCACTAGATTCAGCCACCATCCGTTTTGGCTAAGGGTGGGGCAAAGAGTGATGTAGCTCAGACAACTCAGAGCAAACGCTCTCTGACTCAGTTGTGTCTGGGTTTGGGTTATTCACCATGTTGTGTTGTTTCTTATCAGTGGTTTTTGTCCCCTTCTGATTGTGCAGAGCTCACAGTTTCAGCCTAGAAATGTTGACCAGAGCTTTAGGACAACTGGAATTTGTTTACCTTCCTGGAGGCATAGTTTTTTTTCCTCTGGCACTCATTGCCACACTTCCTAACCAGATTGAGCCTAGTAATCCATTTAAGAGGAAAGGATAGACTCAAGCAAAAGGAGAAAAAAAAAAAGAGGTGCAGAGTAACTGGAAAAAAAAAACCCCACCTAATAGCACACACAACAGCAGGAATGAATTGCACAGATGTTATGCTAAGTAAAAGGCGCTAGACACGAGGAAGTGCATACTCCGTGATTCCATTTTTATGAAGTTCGAGAACAGGCAAAATCATGGGTGATCGTAGAAACCAGAATAGTGATTAGGGGCGCAAAGGGACTTTATGGGGTGCGAAAAATGCTCTATATCTTGATTGAGGAAGTGTCTTATGAGTGTTTGTGTAAAAAAAAAAATAGTTGAGCTGTAAACTTAAAATCAGTGCACATTATGCCTTCACTAAATGTTTGTCATGATTTGATACAAAAAAGTAAAAATTTAACGTAGAATGTGGTAGATAATCATTGTTTGCGGAATCAGGATATCAAACTCCTTGTCCTGGCCCTGTCACCTTCCAGCCATGTCACTGAAGCTCTTTGTTAGCAATGAGTCAGAAATGAGCCAACCCCATCCTAGATTGCTCTGCAACCCAGAAGACAGATAACACCAAAGCCCTGCTCAGGAAGGAGCAGAAGGAATGTGAGTGAGCACGCCTGCGACGTCCCTGCCTTTCTGGAAGTTCTGGAATGTGGCTTTTCACTCCCAGCTGTAATGTGTCCATAAAACACTGCTGTGTTGTTTGGTCTAGCCATAGTTTCTGAAGTTGTCGTGGGTTCAAAATTAAATAATACTGACTTCCCATTTTAACTTTTAACCTCTAATTTATTTGTGGGTTTTTGTACTTTAATGAGTAGTAGATGAAGTGATGATTTTTTATGGAGTTCAGATGAAAAACCTCTGAAGTTTCCATGGAACATGTAACTAATTGTCAGGATGTGGTTTCTGTTCTTATTAATTACCCTGCCCTGATAAAGATACCTCTGCGCTGACTCCCCTCGATTTTCTCCCCGTACTTACTCTCCGACTTCGCGTACTTGGCTCATGTTCATGGGTTCATTTCTCTCCATGTAGGTGTGCCCTTTCATGCCCTTAGGTTTATGACCTTTCCATTGGCAGAGACAGTGTTTTCTAGTCCTGTTTTTTCCCCCCTAGCTACACCAGACGTGTGGGCCTTTGAAAGCTCCTGATTATCCCTATCACGAGTGATACTCAAATCCTTTTAGGAAATTTTTTGTTTCTGTTACAGGAACCATGTTACCAAAAAAACTTAAATGGGTCTTGGGTTGAAAAGTGCCTCCAGTGTAATAGAGACAAAAAGATGAACTGTGATTCTTATTTTTAAATTGAGATACAATCCACATACCATAGAATTGCCTATTTTAAAGTGTATAATTCAGTATATCCACAAAGTTGTGCAGCATCTCTTCTGTCTAATTCCAGAACATGCCATCATCCCCAAAAGAAACCCTGTATGCATCATAGTCACACCTCATTGTCCTTTCCCCAAGACTCAGGAAACCACTAACCTACTTTCTGTCTCTTCTAGGTTTAACTATGCTGGACTTTTCATATAAATAGAGTGATACAATACATGGCCTTTTGGGTCTGACTGCTTTCACTTATGTTTTCAAGGTTCACCTATGTTGTAGCATATATCATTATTTCCTTTTAATTGCTAAATAATATTCCACCATGTGGATATACACCAACCACATTTTGTTTATCCATTCAGCAGTTGATGGGCATTTGGGTTGTTCCCATTTTAAGACTATTATGAATAACAGTGCTGCCAAGAACATTCATGTACAAATTTTTGTGTGACATGTTTTCAGTTCTCTTGGGCACGTACCTAGGAGTGGAATTGCTTGACCATCTGTTGACTCTATGTTTAATTTTTTGAGGAACTGCCAAACTGTTTCCCAAAGTGCCTGTACGTTTTGCATTCCCACCAGCAATGTACAAGGGTTCTACTTTCTCCGTATCCTTATCAACGCTTGTTATTGTCAGTTTATTTTAACGAAATATGTATTCTGATGTTATTTATATTTTCATTTCTCCTGACCTCTGTCAGATTGATATCTTCTTAAACATCAGTCTGACTTGACCATGAGATAAACTTGCAGGTTTACAAATAAGACCATGGTTAGAAGTATCTGGATGTATGTGGTATACGTTTATCTCATCATTTAAGGCTCATAGATTTTACAAGAATCATTAATGAACCTTCAGTTAAAAAGACCACGTAAATTATTTATACTATAAATGGGTTTTTTAAATAACTTAATGGGCTATTTAATTATTATTACATTATCATAAATAAGTTTTATAATAATTATTTTTATTATAAAAGTTACCTGTATAAAGTGTTCTCTATAAAAAATTAGAATATTGGGTAAAATAATTAAAACCACTCATAAATCTAAGACCCGAAGATGATGGTTGTTGGCACTTCTTGTAAACCATTTTTATCTTTTCTCTGTGTGAAGGATGGTCACAAATTTAAGTTACCTCACAATCTGATGGGTGGAGGAAGTTTAATGTCTTTGTTTCATCTACACCTTATGTCATTGTTCTCACTGGACTCATCCACTGGTTACAGTTAAAATGTTAACTGTTTAAAATTAGTCAAATCTGTTTGTCTTCAGGCAGTGCTTAGTCTCTTTTGGTTAAAAATGTGTAATGATGTATTAAGTTGACTCAATTTTCCACTGTTCAATGGATTGAATTTGGTTGCAGAATATTTTCAGGAAAAGAAAGTCAACATTAAAGAAATAGAATTCTGAATTTTTAAGAATTCTTTAGAATTTTAAAACAATCATCTCTTCATGAGGTTTGATCTAGGAATGGCCTTCTAACAGTCACCTGCAGTCACATCTCTGTTGCGTGATAACCAGGAGAGAACGTCCTCCTTCCTGGCTGCAGTGACCCCAAGAGTCCTCACTTGCCCCTCGCCAAGAAAAGCAAAAGATCATTGGAGTCAGTAAAAAGCTCTCCATCAGTCATTCTCTGCATTATCCCTGGATACCAAGTTCACCTTTCATAGAAAATGGAGAAATTTGGGCTCTCCGAGTATTTCACAATAAGTACTCTATCTTTTCTTGCCATATAGTTATTGCTTACTTGAGAAACCCCAGTGCACTGCAGAGTACTATGATATGATCCAGTTTCGTGCATATAGTGGAGTCAGATATTTCTTTCATACAAATGGAAATTCAGAGTTAGGTATTCCTTTCCTTAAATTAGAGTTGGGATCTTGACCAAATAGTAAATGCTATTCTTTGTATACAAACTTAGTGAAAATGATCCTTTGGGATTTTTTAACGGTCAGTGAAAAGGTGGCATTCTATCATTAAGGTTGTTTTAATACCTGTTTCTAGAACATCCTGCATCAGAAAAACCGGATGGTCTAATGGCATTCCAGGTTTTTGAGAGACTCTAACATCTCAATATTACGTCTGTATTATCGCCATGAATACTGTATGCCACTTTGGTTGATTTATACTTGTAGGAAGTCATATTGGATAAGTAAAAAGAGACGTAAAGTGTTCTTAGCGAAATGATTTTCCTATGGAATTCACTTCATGTTTGTCAAGCATGGTACCTGCCTGGAAGATGTAATAGTAGTTCATTTCTTTTAAAGCTTCATTTGGCCATAAAAAGAAGAGCTTAGGGAATGAAAGGTGGGTTGTTTTAAGATAAAGATTTCATTTCTTCTCCTTCTGTACCAAGGCCTCTGTAATGAGTGCTCGGCTAAAGTAAAAAAAGAAAGAGAAAGAACAACAAAACCCAAGCGCCTCAACTACAACAGTCTAATGGTCGTTTGCCCTTGGGAATGTCATTTTGCCAGTTACAGGATGTAGTGTCAGCTCTGGGTGAACAGCCCCTTGTCTTTGACTTCTTAAAAAAATTCAGCCTTGGGATGGCAAATTCTAGATTGCAGAAGGAGAATAAACAGCTTCCAGAGTAAGAAAGAAGAAAAATACTATACAATTTTTACATCTAAGGCCGTATTCCAGCTCTAAAATCCAATGATTCAAAGATCTGAGAAAACATTAGCAGTACTCATTTGGCACAGAGATAAAAGAACGAATGATATATCATTAGGATCTAAGACATTCCAGAAAAATGCACAGATGTGGTATCAGGCACCTTTCACTCCAGCCATCGCTACGACCTATTTTGCACAGACGTAGCCTAATTGCACTCACACAGTCACAGAATGGAAATGCGAGAAACTTACTCCATGGGGTGAACTGTGATCAGTGGGAGACAAGTGCAGATGATGAATGCGCCCCTCTCCCTTCCTTCAGGCAACTGGAAGGTGCAGTCAGTCTACCTAGCTCCTCGAAAGACGCAGCAGGATAGAGCCCAGCTGCCCATCGTGCTGACCAGCCCACAAATACACTTTTGTGTTGGCTTTCCATCTTTTGACATTTTACTCTTCCCAGCCTCCCACTTCTGTTCCCGAGGGTCACTTCCCCAGACAAACTCTGCTTGCAAGCCCTGCCTTCTGGGGAATCCAAGCCTAAGACAGATGTCACCATGCACTCGTAAAGGCTCACTTTCAGAAACAGTGACATTCAAACATCAGACTTCAGAGAAAAGATCCTTGAGAGGGTCACTGATAGCTTCACTTTTAGTATATCTTAAATTTTAAGTGTTTATGAATCAGTTAAAACATTATTCTGTTTATTAAAAAAAGTAAAGACACAACCCTGTTCCCTAAACTCAATCATATACCCACTGGCATAACCAATAGATAATGCTTTAAACAGTCAAGTAGGCTGAACAAAACCAGCTCAACAAGGTTAAGAAATAAATTTCACATCAAGGTAGTATGTTTCATTTCTGAAACAGTTCTGCAGTTCTTACGTTCAGATCTATTTTAAATGTTTGTTAAACTCACTTGTATTCACCTGTGTTTTTTTTAAAGATCTGTTGTTTAAAAGTTAAAATCTCTATAAAGCCTAAAAATGTTTTAAAATTTGCTGAAAATGCAACAAACTCTCAATTAAAATTTATTTAAAATTAAGAAAAGTAAAGACAGCATTTGAACAACATATTCATTGTAGAAGATATATACCGAAAATCGTAAGTAAAAATACTTAGCCTGGTTGTTCTAAAAATAGAACTCAAACAGTAACAAAGCCAGAGAAGATCTGAAATAAGTGGAAATGACTGCCATTTAAAAGCATTTATCCTCTCAGAGCTTTGCAGTGCCTTTGAAAAATGTAATTACCTCCGACTGAAGCATAGAGTTCTGTGCTTACTTGCATTCTTCCGTGTTTCAGGCAAATGCCCACAGCCCTGTCGAAATGGAGGTAAATGCATCGGGAAAAGCAAATGCAAGTGTTCCAAAGGTTACCAAGGAGACCTCTGTTCAAAGCGTAAGTAGCCCATACACATAGTCAGCCTGGGTTATGGGGTAATTAAACTAGCAGGAGTCTCTTCTGACCTCATAACTTCTGCACCTACTGCATGTTGCCTGGACATCTCAATTAACCTTTCTTTACTGACATATGTTTCCTTGAGGTAGATCAAAGACGTACGAAATCCATGCATGTAAAAAACAAACTCAGCCACGTTCACACACACACAACCAAACTGTTTCTCTTAGGAGTTTTCTTAAGGAAGATAAATTTCTATTACCCAGCTGTTTCGAAGTCCTCCAGAGTGTCATTCGTGAATGAGAAGCACCGAGCCTAGTTGAAGATCACTCTCAGAACTTTTTCAAAAAGTCCAGAACTGACTTATAGCTGGAGATTGACTTAGAAAGAAAAAAAAATATTAGGGGATGAAGCCAAAACTAACACATTCTGAAGAACTGCAGGAAAAGCAGCCGTGTAATTGTGTTGACAAAGGAAAGCGCAGGAAACGTTCCTTTTATCTCCTTTGACTCTAGCTGTCTGCGAGCCTGGCTGTGGGACCCATGGAACCTGCCATGAACCCAACAAATGCCAGTGTCAAGAAGGCTGGCATGGAAGACACTGCAATAAAAGTGAGTGCGAGCCTCTCTCACGCCTGCTTCCTGGCACCAATGGCGAAAAGACAAGCCATAACTCAGCCCTGCTTTCCACTTCATAAAAGCCACCTCTCCTTCACTGCCTCTTCTCCCCCCGTGCTTCCCCCTGCCGCCCGCTGGCACTGTCTTTAAACTTTTGAGCCTAAGCTTTAGAGCATAAAGAGGAAACCATCCCTGTAAAATATCACCACAATATTTTCCAGGTTAAGTTAGTACTACTGGTTGACTTGGTAATACCATATATTAATTATGAAATAAGTGAAAGTAAGATTTTAAATCAAATGTGGAGTCAGTATCTATGCATTTCTGATTTTATTGTTCAGGATTGATCAACTAGTGTATCATACATGAGGAGATTTGCCCTGTAAAATCTTTAAATTATGCTGGTTATGGTGTGCTTCAGATGGGTTCTCTGGAGGGAGAGAAAGGTCCATGAAGCATGTTTTCATGGGCGTGTGTCTTTTCAAGCTGACTGACTACCAAAAATGAACTAGCTCTATGGATGATAACCCACTGGCCTGTTTGATACACAGAATGAAAGTTGCTAAAGTCAGTCATTCTGTTTGGAGTGATACCTTCTCTGCGCTAAGCATGAATCCAGGCACTGGGGACAGACCAGTGAACCAAGACTCCTCCCTGGTGGAGCTCAGGCTTAAGAGGGAGGGACAGTCGATCAGCAGGTGGAGAAAATAATGCCATTTCAGCACATCCTGCAGCTAGAACTCAGTCTCCTAAGTACGGGCCCACTGGCCACCTTCCTCTGAGGAAAGGAAGGCTTCATTCAGTCATACAGCCCCCTCCATTAGCAGAAGTCCAGTTGAGTCTATCATATTGTCTCCAAAACAATGGACATAAGTTGAACAAATCATTTTCACATCGGATGTTTTTCTAGATCAGTGGTCTCCAAAGGGTGATGCAGGTAGCCAGTGAGTGTGGAGTGAACAGCTGGGGTACTGAGGGGAAATATTAGTTTGAAAACATTTTTTATATTTTATTTCCTCATATTACTTTTATGTATAAACATCTGTGCAATTAGTATATGGATATATTTATTCAACCTCTCATTTCTCATTTTTGTGTATATGTTCTAACATTCACATTATATTATTCTGATGTGTATATATACCATTTATACGTGGGCATACATGTATATTTGTTTGTTTGTTTTAAGGTGAATTGGTGTCCGGTCTAGGTTATACTAAGCCATTGATTTGAGTCTTTTTCGCCCCCTGAATTATCTGGATGGTAGACTGAGTTGGCTTCAGGTGGGTGTAGCTTAACCGGAAGTGGGGCCCCTCTGGAAAAGAGCTCCTTTACCCAAGTGGCAATGATTGCATGGTACCCCTGTTAGGACATACTTGGTGGGGGGCACCTTCTTTGGAGTAAAAGACCTGTAGAAAATCAGTCATTTCTGGGGCCATTTTGGCAAAGAGTTAAACCAAACCCTTTATGCCACCTTTAACTCAGGATTCAAACTGTGAGGTTTGTCCCCAAATCAAAGTAAGTTCCCAGAAGTCCTTGGGCCTAGGCCATATGTCTCAAGACTCAGTTACACAGGTCTTCTGGGACTCACACTAGGGGCCTGGCGACCACCAGGAGAGCACAAGCAGCACTGTTCCCGCTGACGCACCCAGTCACTCTTCCAGGAAGAAGGCACGTTAGGGGCCCTCGTGCATGTAGTGCAGCTGAGCAGCTCTGACAGGTCTGCCAGTCCCCAAATAGCGCCCCTACCTGTAAACCTTGCTGCTGAAAGCTTTCATCATCTCTGCCTCCTTCAGGTCCAGGCACTGCATGCCAAGAAGATGCCTTGGTGCTCGATTAAAATGCACACGTGTTTTCCGGGAGAGGCCACCCAGCCATTCTGTGCATTGGCTAAGAGAATCAGGCTGAAAGGATGAGGTTTATTTTGACTGCAGGGAGGTGACCGGGAAGCTCTGAGGCACAGAGTTCTCTTAAGAACAGACTCCCAGTGGGGGTGACACGTTGGGAGGTCCTGGGCACCCAGACATCCTAGTGGGGAGGAGGATACTGGAGACAGACTTCCCGGCGTAGGTTCCTGGTCACCAGGGCGGTTTGGGCTTCGTGGGTGGCAGGGCGAGCAGCAGGGTAGGGAGGGTAGGGAGTTACTCCAGTGCATTGTTGGCTCATTGTCTTGGCCATTCCATGAGCTACTAGCCTACAAACTGACAATTCAAAGCAAAACACTCAGGAACAAAGTATTCTCAGTGGTCATTCATGGCATGCTTGCCTTTAAAAACCGCAAGGAATCAATGAAATGCAAAATTTGACTCTAAGGCACAGGAAGATGGAGGCAGCTTTTTAAAGTGTGATTGCTGTCCTGGATCAGTTATAGGAAATCAGTAGAAATGAGTCAGTGCCCCAAGCATTTCCAGAAGTTCATAAGTAATCAGAGAGGAAGTCTCAAGTTGTGGAACTCAGTGTTACATTCCATTTACAATGAGCTGGAAATACTAATGGTAGAGTCTCACCTTGACTGAAACTCACAAATCCCCATTGAGAAGGAGTCTGTTCAAATATAACCCTTCTCTACCGTGTACACGCGAAGTACTTAATTCTTATAAAATTCCTATTTTGTGTAAGTGTAATAGCCCTACCTAGTCATGTGGTCTGTATGATGAGTGGGAGTTGTTACATGGAAGTCGATCAATGTATTGGAGGCTGGTTTTGCAAGGCAGTGAAAGGATCAGTGACCAAATCTTCTGCAGAAGCAGCCCTGCTATCGGGACCTCAGTGCTAGGTCCTTACCTGCTCTTGGGTGGAGAAGGTCCTTCCATTCAGTCACATTCATTCAAACTTTGCATCAAACTTTGCATGACCAAAACGTATAGTGAATCAGAGACTCCGTGGAAGCCAGATTTGATGGAGTTAGTAAAATGGGTTTCTTTTAACAGAGATCTTGAACCTGTAACGTCTCTTCATTCAGGTAGCTTTTTGTGACCACTGTGGTCTCTCACTCTGGGTTGAAAAGGGAAAACAGGTTTCATTTGAATGGTTAATAATGAATCTGAAGAGCCTGTTTCTGTAGTTTCTTCTCTTTTAAGCTGTGAATAATTTTGCAGGGTACGGAGCCAGCCTCATGCATGCCCTGAGGCCAGCAGGCGCCCGGCTTCAGCAGCACACGACTTCACTTAAAAAGGCCGAGGAGCCGCGGGACCCACCTGAATCCAATTACATCTGGTGAACTCCGACATCTGAAACGTTTTAAGTTACACCAAGTTCATAGCCTTTGTTAACCTTTCATGTGTTGAATGTTCAAATAATGTTCATTACAGTTAAGAATACTGGCCTGAATTTTATTAGCTTCATTATAAATCACTGAGCTGATATTTACTCTTCCTTTTAAGTTTTCTAAGTACGTCCGTAGCATGATGGTATAGATTTTCTTGTTTCAGTGCTTTGGGACCAATTTTGTCAGTTGATCAGGTTAAATTTTTGTCTTTTCTGTGTGTCATTGGCAGATGATTTCCAAAAGTACAATGCATTCATGGTGTCGAGGGGCTGGGCAACATTAGGAAAGATAAATGGAACAAAAATGCATAAAGCACAAGGGTTTGGATGAAGCAGTTAAAACTGCTGAAGTTACAGCGTTTCAGATTGTACCGTCATGTATTTAGACATCTGTCACATTTTTAAAATTCTCCATATTTTTAAACTCACAATATATTTTGACCTTACCATGATTCCAGAGAATTCAGTATTAAAAAAAAAGAAAAATAACACTGTGGTAGTGGCATTTAACAATATAATATATTGTAAACACAATAAAGTACAGAATATAATGTATGAACTTTTGGCATTGGCTTGAAGCAATATAATATATTGTAAACAAAACACAGCTCTTACATAAACATTTTATACTGTTTGTATGTATAAAATAAAGGTGCTGCTTTAGTTTTCTGAGTGTTGTATGGAGTGCTCTGTGCGTGTGCTATCATATGGAAATAAAATTGGTTGCAATTGAGTGGAAGGTAAAACTTTGCAATATCGTAAAAAAGAGAAGATGTTCTATTATCTGACTCTGTCCCAGCTCTCCAGCCTCATCCCTCCCTCCCAGTTCTGTTTCAACTCCAGCCATGTCACAGCACACTCTGTTGTCATAGCCTGCAACACTACATGCAACAATTTATATTGGCTCCCAACTGGTTGTCATTTCTCTCAAGAAGTCTTCTCTAACCAGACTGTGTTAAATATCCCATTAGTGAAGACTTTCTAAAGGTGCAAAAATGTTGCAAATAAAAGTGCTACCAATTGGTAATGTAAATTGGGGCCAGTTTCTATGGACAATAGTATGGAGGTTCCTTTAAAAACTAAAAATAGAGTTGCCATATGATACAGCAGTCCCACTGAGACATCCCACCAGAGAAAGCTCTAATTCGAAAAGATACATGCACCCCAGTGTTCACAGAAGCACTATTTACAAAAGCCAAGACATGGAAGCAACTTAAATGTCCACCAACAGATGATAAAGAGGATGTGTGTATACATATATACACACACATTGGAATATTACTCAGCCATAAAAAAGAATGCCATTTGCAGCACCATGGATGGACCTAGAGATTATCATACTAAGTGAAGTAAGTCAGAAAAAGAAAGACAAATATCATATGGTTTCACTTATATGTGGAATCTAAAATATAGTACAAATGGAAGTCAGACAGAAAGACAAATATCATATGATATCACTTACATGTGGAATCTTAAGAAAAAAACACAAGTGAACTTATTTACAAAACAGACTTACAGACATAGAAAGCAAACTTATAGTTACCAAAGGGGTAAAGTTGAGGGAGGGATAAATTAGGAGTTTGGGATTAGCAGATACGAACTACTGTATACAAAATAGATAAACAACTAAGTCCTACTGTATATCACAGGAACTATATTCAATAGCTTGTAATAACCTATAATAAAAAAGAATATATATAACTAAATCGCTATGCTGTACACCAGAAACTACCACAACATTGTAAATCAACTATACTTCAATAAGAAAATATGATACGAATGAACTTACTTACAAAACAAAAAAGACTCACAGTCATAAAAAAACAAAGTATGTTTATCAAAAGGGAAAGGGGGTTGGAGGAGGGATAAATTAAAAGTCTGGGATTAGCGGATACAAACTACTATATATAAAATAGATAAACAACAAGGTCCTAATGTATAGCACAGGGAACTATATTCAATATCCTGTAATAAACCATAACAGAAAAGAATGTATGTATGCATAACTGAATCACTATGCCGTACACCAGAAACTAGCACAACACTGTAAATCAACTATACTTCAATTAAAAAAAAAGTGCTACCATTTGTTAAGAATCTATTGGTTCCCAGGAACATTGTATGTGTTATCTCACAATCCTCTGGGGTGGGTATCATTACTCCCCTTTACAGTTAAGAAAACTGAGGCATGGAGATGGGAAGCACTTTACCCAAGATCACACATGATAGGGGCCGGTTTGAATCCATGTCATCTGCCTCTGAATGGTTAACACTATGCTGTTCTTTCTGCTTTCTTTTTCTTGGCAAATACAGCAGGACACAAAACTCTACAAATCCTAGGTGGCAACGTTCCAATGTATTTTTTATCCTCCTCATTCTCCCAAGGGAATGTGGACCTTATTTCATAGGTTGTCTAAAGTCCACAAGTTTTCTTACGCTGGGCAGTGGCATAATCAGTTGTGTGATGTAGGGAAGTGCCGTGTTATGGGAAGACACCAAGGGAGAGGCTGGAAGCAGAGCGAACACATCTGGTTGCGACACTAGACCACAGCAGTCTTTCTCCTCTAACGAACCAGAGCCCAGAGTGTCCGCCTGGGCTCACAGTGGCTTGGCAAAGCAGGCCACGAGCCAGGGAGCAAACCCTGGGAATCCGAATGTAAGAACCAACTTGTTTATTACAGACTCTTAAATAAAGATCCAGATGCATGATAATGAAGACCTAAGAGGTGGCAGAAAGTTAAGTTTGCGGATTGGGATAAAAATAATAATAGTTGACACTTTCGTAGTGCTTAGAGTACTCTAAACATTCACTTGTATTAACTTACAATGAACAAGAGAATAGCGGGGAAGTTAGACCAAAGCATGGTGACAAGCTTCAATTGTCTAAGCTGGTCATCTCCAAGCCATTGTGATTGCACACTCCATTTCGATTGGACACATAGTCCTATAGATGACTATTATTTATTTACACAAATAACTGTACCACTATGTACATTATCAAAGCCAGAAATGTTGAAAGGAAGAAGTAAATATATATGTTAGCGGCTCTAATATTTGCTTCACTTACCCCAAAAAATTGCTTACGTACACCTGGAGTACACACACCTCCCCCGCCACAGGAGACTTCTGGTAACAGGGAGTCAGAACAGGGTCTGAAATGGCTTTAGCGTCAGAGAGGAGAGTTCAGACTCAAGAGAAATTTCAAACCTAAGCAGGAGACTAGATGACCAATTGAATGTAGAAGTTAAGGAAAGAGAGGCATCTGGACAGTGTGTTAAGGAGTAAAGAGGAGCAAGTGTGAGCAGGGTGAGGGTTTCCAGAGATGCTGGGTTTGGCCATGAAGATGTTGAGATTAATGTGCCTTTGCGACATCTTGGTGGAAATGCCTGCTAAGACATTTGGAAATACAGTTACGAGCATAGGCTGATAATTTGTTGATTATCAGTCATATAATAAACGAATAATACTAATTACATATTGAATTAGTTTTCATAAAAATATACATAATAGCTTTGTCTGATGAGGTGCAGTATGATTCACTTGTGATTTATTGTGTGTTTAGATTCTACATACAGTTAACAGCCTTTGCTGCGCACCTGTGTGTATACTTATGTAACAGTAGGCCTGGACTGTCTGGCAGATTGATTGAGCCCTTTCTCCCTCCTTCCCCCACCGTATGTATAATGAATCTTCATCTGAATTATACCCTTTGGTCTCTTTGTCAGCTCATGTAGGATCACAACAATGGAGGCCAGCTCTTGAAACAACAGCCAGTAATGTGGGCTATGAAATAACTGTTACTCTTATGCAGTTACCATAGAAGAGGAGGGAGATGAAGAAAAAGAGGAGGAGGAGGAGGAAGAAGAGAGGATGTTTATATAAAATATCTCTGTAAACAATCATTTAAGTGTTGAAGCAGGAAGGAGTGAAAGCAGTCTGAGAAGATGTATATACCATTTGGCAAAATAGAATAAGTAGGAGAAATGAGGCAAAAGGAAATAAAATGGGTCCAGGAGTGAGCCCAGGCATATAGGGACTCCTGACACTTGTGAAAGGTGGACCACACCCTTAGCCCTAAGCCCTACTCCAGCATCTCAGAGAGAGAACCATGGCTGGTGATAAGTCCCAAACACCATAAACCCAAAACCTAACAAGTTGTTGCTCAGGAGAAGTTAAACTATACAGGGAATTTATATTAGCGCTGAATCAAGACATGTAGGTCTGTGGGAAAGCTACTTTTTGGCATCCCTTCAAGGTGATGGTCTTTAAAATATCTCTTCTACATTTATTTACAGAGCAACCGCATGAATAAAGACTTTTTTAAAAAAGGGTTGCTGACAGGGTTCAGCTTCTCATCCAGTATCCCAGGCAATTTATTCTGACTCTAGAATTCATTCTGTGCCCCACCCAGCAAACAAAAGCTCTCCAATTAAATCCAGCCAAGCTACTTAGAGGGAAGTTTACTAGGCACACTGTTTCTTGATCATGTTCCTGGCAATTCTTAACACCTTTGCGAGTGGCTTCTCAACGTATTTCCTTCAACCATATACAGCATTCCTCCTGAAAGGAAACTAGATTTTTCTCTCATCTCATTCCATGTCCGGAGAGCCTAATGACGCAACCTGAGCTTGCTAATGCTGGACACAGCCCCAGAGGAGCCAGCCCTGACACCAGCTCTCACCGAGAGCAGAGAGCAATACGTCCTGGGGGTTCTGGTGAAGAGGTCAGAGCATCATGTAATACACAACACCCTCAGTCGTACAGACAGAGGAAAAACAGACAGGACCTTTTCTTTCCATATTCCTCAAGAAAGCACAAATCATCATCACATGGAAGTACAGTTTAACGAAAGCTTTTCTACCAAAGCAGGAGAGGGCAAGGGGCTATCGTGAGGTGAGCAATGTTTAAACTGGGTAAACGAGAAACATGGCCATTTCAGAAGAATTTCCTGGGGCAATAAAAAAGAGAGAAAGGAAAGGAAAGAAAACAAATGAGTATCCAAAGACAGAAGTTTCATCATCATCATTTTATAGGCAGTTGATGCAAGTGGTGCAAATATAAAAGCTTAATAAGCATATTAAATGTCCTCCATATGGCTCAACATAAAAAAAATAGAAACCATATACAGGAAACTGACATCATAAAACAGTATTCAGGTGTTCAGAAAGATTTTTTTTTAATTCTAATGTAAACTCCAAATGTAGCTTGATTCTGCATCTGTTTACTGGTTCATTATCAATAAGAATATAAAAATTACAAATGAGAAATCATTTTTATTAAGCCTTGGCACTTCAGGAGAGTTCCTTGGTAACATACTTCCCTTCCTCATCATCTCTGGCTTGCACAGTGATTGAAATTACCTAGCATGTCTCAAATATCCAAACCAAGAAGAGCTTCTCTGAGATGACAAATGATCCATAAAGCCCACAGGAGGATCACTGAGAACTGACTCACTGCAAGGTGAACACTCAGCTCCCTGCTCCAGTGGGCCTGACGCTGGGCGGTCCAGCCTTGAGCATCGTCCTGAGGCTGGATCTGAGGCCAAGGGTAGGAGAAAAGAACAAGACTAGAGCAGAGAGCCTTGAAGAGCTGTAACCCAAGGGAAGGACCAGCTATGTAATTTGAGGAGCCCAGAGCAAAGTGAAAATGTGGGGCCTCTTATTCAAAAA